GGTGCTGGGCACCCTCCAGCTGCAGGCCCCAGGTTGTGGCCGTCCCCACCCCAAATCCCCATCGCTTTTGGGGTCTGCTGTCTGCACTCCCAGGGTGTTGGGGGCCTTTTTCTCTCCCCCAAACTAAGAGGAGAGTTGGCCGCTGGATTTAGCCCTAATCCCCATCCCAAAGGTAAGTAGAGCAGGATTACACCTTTCCTGGCCGTAATCCACCCCGTCATGCTGCCCGTGACTCAGTTTCCCCACAAAAGAGGGTGAAACCCAGTTACAGCAGCCCTCCTGCCCCGGGCTGAGGTGATTCCCTATATGGAGGGGTTTGAAGGAGAATTAATTATAATGGGTCCTATTAATGCTCAGGCACTTACGAGCAAACGGGGAGGCGGTGTATGCAGGGCATAGCTGCGTCACGGGGGACATGGCGGCTCTGGGGATGTTCAAGCTGCCACAAGGACCCCCCCCCCCCCTCCTCCAGGCTATCCCTGGGGCCAGGATCTTTGGCAATCCCGGTTGTTTTCCCAACACCGGGAAAAACAGGCAGGTGCCTGCACGCCGACGGGCAGAGCCGAGCACACCCACACTCGCTCCACCCCAGGCACAGCCCCCAGCCCAGCACCCAGCGCCTTCACCACGTGCTGCCCTCTTGCTCGCACACCCAGCATGCCTGCAGCTCTGCAGGGGACAAGAACGGGGCAAAGCCCAGCAGAAAAAAAAAAAAAAAGCCCCAAATCAGCAAAATCAAGACAAGCGAAGGGGTCACACCAGGCTATTGTACCCGCGCCGCTAAAATTAGACCTTCCCGAAAACGTGATTATTTGTTAATGCTATGCTTCACAGGCAAAATCATTCCCTGTATTTTTAGGGTTGACATTTTTCTTCTTCTGTTCTGGGGTTGTTTAATTACCGGAGTATTTTTTCACACCCCTTATCCTGAGCTGGTTTTTCTTAACGATGGTCTTTAACAGGAGGCTGGACCTTGGCCAGAAACGCCAGCCCCACAGCCCCATCATCAGCGGCACCGGCCTGGAGAACAAAGTTTATTTGTTGTTTTGCACCAGAGATGTTTGCCCATTTCTCCCCCAATTTGATGCTCAGGAGTGTGGCGGGAAGGTTTGCACCAGCATCACTTGGGATGGACAGATGGACAGACGGGAGGGTCCTGTTCGCTTCAGTATTGCCAAGGGCGGGGATTTTGCTTCCCAAATCCAGCTTTCCAGGCCCCAGTTGCCCCACTGGAGGGGAAGGAGCTGACGGGGTGAGCAGGATCCATCCCGGAGCTTCCACGCTGCCTCCCTCCAGAGCCGTGACTCACAGGGCGTTTTGGATCGGGCATTGGTTAATGATTAAATTAATTGAGCCGGTACAGGTGATGCACTCGCTGCCTGGGAGGTGGGGGCAAAAGCGGGGGATGTAGGGTGCCAAGGGAGAGACCGGCCATTTCCACCCCAAAACCTGGTCAGGATGGTCCCCTGCACCTGGGGATGGAGATTGCAGAATGGGACCTGGCGTAGGGGTCACCTGGGACGGGTCCTGGGGGAATCACCTAGGCCAGGACCTGGGGGATCCCTTGGGATAAGACCTGTGGGATCAGCTAAGAGGGGACCTGGAGGAGGGTCACCTGGGATGTCACATGGGGGACCATCTAGGATGGGGTTTGGGGGATTATTTTAGATCAATTCTGGGAGATCCCCTGGAATAAGACTTGGGGGATCATCTAAGATGGGACCTGGGAGTGGGTCGCCGGGGATGGCACACTGGGGATCACTTAGGTTGGGGCTTGGAGCATCCTCCAAGCGATTGGACCTGGGGGATCCCCCAGATGGGGGATCATCTAGGATGGGATCTGGGAGACCACCCAAGATGAGAGCTGAGGGGGGAACCACATGGAGTGGCCGATGAGGGATCACTTAGAGTGGACCATGAGGGATCACCTGGGCTGAGACCTCGGGGTTCATCTGGGGTGGGACATGGGGATCAGCTAGCACAGGACACGGAGGATCCTGCACTTAGGGGATCCCTTGGGCTGGGACTTGGGGGAATCTCCTGGATCCAGACTGTAGCAGCTGATCCCAGCTCCACCGCTGGCAAACAATCTTCCACCACCTTGCCATATATTTTCCTCCAGCCTTTCCAACACAAAAGCCACCGAGGGCTCCAGCACCACCCAAAACCGGGGGCCCAACCATAACCCCCCCATCACTCCCCTTTCCCTGCTCACGGTTCTGCTTCACCTGGACACAGGTTTTCTCTAAAATGATACTTTTTAGGAGAAAAGCAGCTCATGAACCCCCCAGCATCACCCACCATGGGGGGGCCAGCGATGCTTCTGCTCCAGTGCTGCTGAATCAGTCACAAATTCTCCCCATTCCCTTTTATTTTAGCAAAACCAAGACATTTTAATACCATTTCAACAACTGGGCTTTAAAAACACATTATTTAAACATTGGGGAAACAATACTGAGACCCACCAAAAGACACCAAGGAGCTTTTCTGAGCCCTCCCAAAGGACGTTGAAAAGAAAGGCAGGATTTTTTTTTTCCCCATTTCCCCCCATTTTTTCCCCCCCTCCCACAGCCCCCGGGGCTGTAGCTCCCTGCCTCCTCCCCGGCAATAACTCTGCTCTTAAGCAAACATGACGTATTGCCCGGGAAATGTCGCTGGCCACAAGAAGGGGAGGCCCCTGGACACCAGGCTGCTGTAAAAAAAAAAAAAAAAAAAAAAAAAAAAAGGTGTACTTCAGTGAACAAAGATTACCGGGGGGGAAAAAAGGATTTTTGCAGTGAGGTTGTTACGAGTTGGTGGGGCAAGGGGTTAGGGGATGCCGCAGAGGAGGGCTCAGTTGGGTTGCAGCAAGCCAGGTTCTGCATTAAGGGAATAAGTAACTAAACAAACCCCCAAAAAACCCAGAACAGCTTTGCAAGTATGTCTTTCCAATATTTAGTTTGGTGGAAAAGTGTTTAATTTCTCAGAGGTGTTTTAAAGTGCTTTTTCTTGCTGATTTTTCACTTTCAGATTATTTGTGAAAGAAGAAATCACTGTATGGGGGAGAAATTTAAAAAAAAAAAACAAAACCCAAATTGCCCCGCGGCCAAGCACCAGCTGTGGGGCAGGATGGGCCACGGTGCCCGGGGATGGCCAAGATGGTGCTGAATGGAGCAATTTGGGGCCAGATCCAGTGCCGAGCCCGAGGTTGAAGCAGATGGGGCATTGTTTTGGGGCAAAGTGCCTCATTTTTGGACCAGAGAGGTTGTTTTAACCCCCCTTTTTTTTTTGGCATTAGCCCCTTCACCCTGCGCGGGACTCTGGGTACCACTGTGATGCAGATGTCCAAAAGCATCTGAGGCACCGAGCTGCTTTGCATGACACGAGTTTCCCCGGTCTCAGCTCACAGCCAGGCCAAAATCATGTTACCCTCTCATGTGCGCTTGCCAGGGCATCCAGTGATGGGGCCTGGGGGCTGCGCTGGGCTTCCCCCTGGGTGGGGAAAGGCTCTGGCCCCAAAAATTCGTGCTGAATCCCAACAGGTCTGCACCAAAACTGCCTCTGCTGCCCCTGAGAGCAGGGCCAGGGGATGGGACAAGTGGGATGAGGAGAGGGGCCAAGTGGGACAGGGAGATGGGGATGAGTAGGAGAAGGAGAGGGGACAAATGGTACCAGGAAACCAACAGGACCAGGAGAGGGAAATAAATGAGACCAGGAGTTGGAGACACGCGTGACCAAGAGAGGGGACTGGTGGGACCAGGAGCTGGGGACAAAAAGAATCAGTAGAGGGGAAAAATGTGACCAAAAAATGGAACAAATGGGACCAGGAGATGGGGACAAGTGGAACCAGGAGAAGGGACCAGTGGGATCAAGAGATGGAGACAAGTTGGACCAGGAGAAGAGACCAGTGGGACCAGCAGACAAGGACAAGTGGGACCAAGAGACAAGGACAAATCTCTGGGCTGCAGATAAGTGGGAGCAGGAGACAAGCGGGACAAGAAGAGGGGACCAGAACAATCAGGAGATGGGGACAAGTGTGAGCAGGAGAGGGGACCAGGCCAGGGGCTCCCATGCTCTGCAAATGCCAGGTAGTTTGTTGGGGCATGAGGTGAGCCAAGAGCAGCCCCGGGCTGCTCTAATGCCCTGTGCCCCGCTGCAAGGAGCGGGGGACAT